TTACATATATTGTCCAGCCGACCTGGACCATACCTTCCAACTCTTTTTTGGGTTTTGGATTGTTTTTACCTAGTGTAAGTCATGGGCATGTGCATTCATGTGTGCTTAAAGTTTCATGTCTCTGGACCTGCTTGGTTGAGTTTTTTTTTTTTCTCATTACAGAGGAGGATTTGGTGGAGGTCAGGGCCTTCCTGGAAAAAATGGATCTGTCAGTGGAACTGCTTGTCCCAGAGGGCTTTATGGTATCTTTTGTGAGGTACATGAACAACCATCCTTTGCAATTTTCAGTAATTATTTATGTAGTTGGAATGAGATTTAAAGGATTAGGTGGCTCGATCATGAACTTGAGTTCTTTGAGATTGTTTTCTGTTACATAATTTTATAAATAAATCGGTGAATTCCTGTTTCATAGTTGAAATGAAATTTTAAAGATCAACTTCTCAGTTGCTTTGTCTTGGTTGCCTGCATTTAACTGTGTTGCAGGAATGCCCTGTTGGTACATATAAAAATGTCACTGGATCTGACAAGGCTCTTTGTCATGATTGTCCACCTCATGAGCTTCCGTATCGTGCCATTTATATTCCTGTTCGAGGTATTTTTAATAATAAGTTTGTTTTCATCACACCTGAATGGAAGAATAAAGGCCAAGTTATTTAAGTGTGTGCTTTTACTTAGAAGGTTTTCTAATAATCTCATTTTATGATGATAGAATTTATTGCATAAACTTCAATTGATTTGATTTCCCATTTCCTTTTCAAAAGGTGGTGTGGCAGAGACTCCCTGTCCATATAAGTGCTTATCTGATAGATATCACATGCCAAACTGTTATACAGCTTTTGAAGAGTTGGTATACACTTTTGGTGGGCCGTGGCTTTTTGGTCTTCTACTGTTAGGCCTTCTTATCCTGCTTGCTATAGTTCTCAGTTTTGCACGAATGAAATATGTGGCTGGGGATGATTTACCAGCCGTTACACCTGCTCGAAATGACACTCGATTGAATCACTCTTTTCCTTTTCTGGAATCACTGAATGAGGTTCATAACAAACTTCTTCCTTGTGAATCTCATGGACACTCTCCACCTTTGGAACTCGGTTCAATGTTACAATCAAGTTTAACCTTGTGTTTCTGTATTCTTTCAGATAATGGAAACAAACCGAAATGAGGAATCTCAGAGTCATGTGCACCGGTTGTATTTCCAGGGTCCAAATACATTCAGTGAACCGTGGCATCTACCTCATTGTCCTCCAGAGCAAGTAAAAGATATTGTGTATGCTTCTGTTTCATTAAAATATAAATGTATTTAGTATTTTAGTTTTGAACACCCCCTGCAAGAGGCTTTAGTTCATGATATGCCTTAAAGTTGAACTTTTTAAATATTAAGTATATCACCTATTGCAGATATGAAGATGCCTTCAATAGATTTGTGGATGACATCAATAGTTTAGCCACTTATCACTGGTGGGAAGGGTCTATTTATAGTATCCTTTGCATCATTGCATACCCCCTTGCTTGGTCATGGCTTCAGAGGTGTCGCCGAAATAAATTACAGAAACTTCGAGAATTTGTTCGATCAGAATATGATCACGCATGCTTGCGCTCTTGCCGTTCTCGAGCACTCTATGAAGGGCTGAAGGTACTTCGTATTTAATTTTATGAATTTTTTTCCTTACCTTAAGTGGGACTCTGCGGTCCTTGCATACTAAGTTATGTTGCAGCTCATTCATGCCCTGCTGAACTTAATCTGCAATGTGTTCATATAATTTAAAATATCTGTAAGCTAAACATGTTTCCTTTATAATACGTTAGTTGACCTGGTGATAGAACTGGATCAGTGTTTATAAACAGAAACCATTTGTCCCTGGATCTGTATCAATGAGATAGAAGATCAGGGATGAGGGGAATATGGATATGCTGTATTACAAAACTCTTGGAGCCTTCTAGGTGTTCAAGTCTTTGAGAGACCAGAATTTTCTCTACCAAATTCCAGTCCAAAACCGAAACACTCCTCACTATCATTTCCCTCCTACTAATTATACTGTTCAACTTATGGTTCTAATTAACTATGTTGATGCATGTTTTCCAGGATATCTAAAACTTGTTTTTTTTCATGGACGTTTTTGTTTGTTAATTTTAACATGTTTGATTCTTCAGTTGTTTTTACCTTATTCTCTCTCTGTCAAATGCAGGGATTTTTATTTATTAAAAATTAGAATCTGTCAATGGTTAATTACTCTGTCATGTTACAGGTAGCTGCAACATCTGATTTGATGCTGGCATATCTGGACTTCTTTCTTGGTGGGGATGAGAAAAGACCTGATCTGCCTCCTCGTCTTTGTCAGAGATTTCCCATGTCTATCATTTTTGGAGGAGATGGAAGTTACACGAGTCCTTTCTCTCTTCTTAGTGATAATATTCTTACTAGCATCATGAGTCAGGTTTGCTCAACTTAGAACTTAGCCTTTTTTGTGAAATCCTGAGCGTTTATTTTGTTGGCTGATTATGTTTTTCTGCTCCCTAGGCTGTTCCACCAACTATATGGTATCGATTAGTGGCTGGTCTCAATGCCCAATTACGCCTGGTTCGCCGTGGACATCTAAAAATAACTTTTGGCCCTGTTATCAGCTGGCTTGATATATATGCTAACCCTAAGTTGGTTGCATATGGGGTACGTGTTGATCTTGCATGGTTTCAGCCTACAGCATCGGGATATTGCCAATTTGGAATCGTCGTATATGCTATTGAGAATGAAAGCATGTCCTCATCATGCGAAGGTTATGATGATTCAAGAATAACTGAGAAGCAAACATGGTAATACTATAACTTATTATTTATCTTGTTGATAATTTTATGAAACTTAAAATTACTTTCTAAGGAATGCTTTGTTATGTGCAGTTTACTTTCAAGTCCCAGAAACCCAGTGCATCGCATGACAAGCAATGAACACCTGATGATGCCTAGAAGGATGTCTGGTGGCATATTGCATGCTAAAAGCCTAAGAACACTTAAAGAGAAGAAAACTGTATACTATCCGTTTGCTTTTATTATTTATAATACAAAGCCTTTGGGTCATCAGGTATTAAAATATTTCCCTTGTCAACTGCATGTTATCCCTGAGACGATTTCTAACTCTCGTTTTATTGCAGGATCTAGTTGGTCTGGTTATCTCTATACTTCTGCTGGGAGATTTTATCTTAGTATTGCTCACCTTACTTCAGATGTACTCACTTTCGCTGTTGAGCTTCTTCTTAGTTTTATTTGTCCTCCCTCTTGGTGTCCTATTTCCATTTCCATCTGGAATCAGTGCTTTGTTTAGTCAGGGACCTAAGCGATCAGCTGGGCTTGCTCGACTCTATGCTTTGTGGAATCTAATGTCATTAGTCAACGTTGTAAGTTGTGCTAAACTGTACCTGTTTCTAACTAGTTTTTAACGTGAAACAATAGTTCGAAGTGTAACCACTATGGAATTGTTTAGTTTACCTGCATTCTAAGAGTGTACTACATAGTTTTCGTTGTATTTCAATTTCATTCAAAGTGGTGTCAAATAGGCTCTCAAGTATTTGTTTAGATCTTTGACAATAAATTGGGGTCTCTTTGAAACAGGTAGTTGCTTTCTTTTGTGGATTTATACATTATACAATTCATTCTCATAACAAGCTTTCTACCTTTCAATCCTGGAGTTTTAGCATGTAAGTAGCTGTTATATTTTTTTCATTAACAATAATTTTAGCAGATACACAGATTTGTTTTCTGTCCCTATTTGACACTTTTGCTTATGTGTTATGCTGGGTCATTTCAGGGATGAAAGTGAATGGTGGATTCTTCCTTCTGGACTGGCCCTCTGTAAAATTATTCAAGCGCGCCTTGTTGATTGTCATGTGGCCAACCAGGAAATACAAGATCCCTCATTGTATAGTAGTGACACTAACGTATTCTGGAATTCTTGAAAGTTTTACTATTTTGCTTTCCTTTTGTATTTATTAAAGTGTAAAGCTTAAATGGGTGGGAGCAGTCACTAAGTGACACTGTAAATTTTATAAACGTTAGGAAAAGATTCAGTAAAATGTGTCGTATGGAATGGGTTGGTTATATTGTCTTTGATGATCAGTTACTATAGCTGTACAATTGAGAATAATTCAAGGCTTCAGCCATTCTGTAAGGGTTGGCGACTATGTCAAAATATGCATCTGACATCTGTGATCTCATTTTAGTTATACCTAGACTGGAAGTTTAAAGATGATATTGTAGATTAACATAGAGCATTGCAAATTACATTATGAACAATTCAAAAATTATCCATTCAACAACTGACAGTTTATTAGGAGAAGCGGACATATGATGAGAAACAAGGAAACATAATCTCAGGATAGAGCAAAAAGTCAATAGCATTGTGTATCATCCACATCAAAGACGTTTTTCTAAGATAAGATTTATCAAGTTTCTTGATTTTTAATAAATTACTGGTGAAAATGTTTCTAACATTTCTCTTTTAATATATGATCACACAAGTATTGGGTTGGAATAACAGACATGTATGTTAGAGCTTACAGCCTTCTCATTCACTTCATTTACATTCAATGTGTACTTAGCATAGTCTTTAAAAATACAATTAATCATGATTTACATTAAATGTACCAAGCCAAGTTAGGGAAACTTTCTATTCTCTATATACAAAATGTCACAAACTTGTGGAACACATTTTGCGGTCGTCAAGGAATATAAATCATCAAACACGATAGTGCACATGCACATTGTTTTGGCTCGAGGAAATTCCAATCTCTCTATATATATGTGTGTGACCGCGCGTGTTACGATAAAATTACATTAACATATTGTAATAAGAAGTCGGGTGCTTTTGACGTCACATAGTGATGTATAATAGTTGAGGCAAACCAATTACTTGGAAAAAAATATGTATGAAGCTGATTTATTGATTAAAACAAATAAAAGTTTCAGCTTGAATTTATCTTGTATAAGTATATGAAACTTAAACTGTAAAGACAATTCCATCCGACTTTCGGTTAGCAAGTAAGCAACTTCTGAATTCAGAGTATTGATTACATTAAGTACCATTCAAGTGTTTTTGACCCTTTGAGAACATGATCAACAGTCAATTCATTACAATCAAGGAGGGAGAAAACCAACATGAAAAAAAAAAATTGTTGTTTTTATAGATAAAGAAATTTGGAGATTAACTATTGTAATTCACTTTATTGTACGCTTAAAATAATTGCAAAAGAACCAATATTAATATAAAAATTACCAGGAGTGCTTCTTTTGTTTCTCTTATGAATTTTTATCCACAAGTTGAATTGGAGTCAGGATACTTGCTTTGTTTGTCTCCACAATGCAACCATTCATGACCATTTCCTCCAACATAAAATGAACCTTCTCTAAATGAAACATGATATCTAGTTCACACTGCAAATTTAAGTGCAGACAAGAAATGTGGAAGCTAAAATCAGGAAATGGAAGGAAGAAAATACATTTGGAAAGTATGGCAGGGAGAGAAAAAACGTAAATCTCCAATTCCAGCGGTACTTACCACATTGCCAAAGTGTCGATCCATTGTTTCGACCAAAAGATGTATAAACTCCAAAATTGCAAGCTCGTTCTGCAAAATCATTCACAGAAGGAATAATGAACAATCTAATAGAAGCAGGTTTCCAGATGATATCATATTTATATACCAAAATTTATACGTTTTAACTTTGTTGAAGCCACGAGCACTTGTAAGAAAGAACATCTTTAAACCTTGTTTGAATCAATTCAGAATGGAAAATACTAAAAAATAACTTGATTTACCTCGGCATTATCGACTCCAACCAGGAAAAACAAGGATGCATAGCGTCTATACACAATTTTATAGTTGCGATGCTCAACAAATGAACACTGTCCATAACGAAAATGCATCAGCTACAACAACTATGTAAATCAATTGTACAGATGAAACATGTAAGAAAGTAAAACTAAAGTCATAGTGACAATAACATATAGTAACCCATAAAGCTAAATATACTTGTAATATTTCTGAATATAAAATCTTTATATTAACACATCAAAATACCATTGAATGTAACTAATCAGAATAAATAATACATACATTATTGCAAACATGATTTCTTGTTAATTGACATCCATTACATTGCCAATCGAAGCGATTGAATCCTAAAAACTAAGAAAATTGTTAAAGAAATTGTCATATTGTTAAATTACATGTGATCTTAAGAAGCATGAAAACGCAGAAAAGAGAGAAGGAAACAAGAACATACCTGGTAATCACTACGGGCGAGGCATTTCCGAACAATTTCGCCTTCCAGGGTTCGCCTTTCTTCCAGAGTGAGATACTCATAATACTGTGCAAGGCGAGTCTGTCCTTGCTTGTTCACCATTAACACGAATCTGATACCCATTCCAACGGTTTTTGACAAACACACTCACCTAATGCATTAATCTTTCTCTTTTTTCTTCTCACGAAATATTAATCTATTGGAGAAATTTAATCCACAAAGTAATTTTATTTTTGTCGATTTTTCTATTTTTGCAATTTTTATTTTAATATAAAAGTTTTATGATTTTCGCATTCTCATCACTATTTTATTTAGTTGTTTGTATAAGTATGTATATGTATATTTCTGATATAAAAAATTAATAATTATTTATTCTCAGAAACTTATTGAAAAAACTTGAATTTTAATTTTAATGTCATATCAGATTTATATGTTAATCTTATGATTCACTATATATATCTGAAGCTACTCAATGAAGTTACTCTATAAAAATTCACATGGAATACTATTTCGTAAAAACTATTGAATCTTCTCCTTCAAATGCTAAATCAATTATATATAGTCGGTAAATAAACTTAACAACTAATAGATAATTTATTTTCCTTAATCAAAATCTCGAGTTATAATTTTAGATATAGTAAAAGCTTATCAGAATCACCCTGACATTTCTAATTCAAATAGGAATATTTCTAATGGAACATCGTATTCTAAATTGAAGAAATTTAATTGGTCAACTAACGTAAAATGAAATTAGGTAAACATAAATCCTCTTAATAAGCCTATTTTCTCTACCTTGACTACAACAACATCCTTCTTGAACTATCAATCTTTCATTCAAAGTGCTTACAAATTGACTTTTGTAGCAAAGACAAATGTAATGTAAACAAAACTCAATCTTGAAAGTCATGATCATGATGATGATGATAGTTGAACTATGAACATACATTGAATTCTTGTGGAAATTGGTGTTGGTAATTTACTTGACAAAGGGGTTCTATAAATGTTATCAGTTTACACGGTTTCTAATATCTACTTTTAATCTCTTATAATTAAAAGTGATTATTTTAATCTCTCGTAATTAAAAGTGATTATTTTCATCTGCTAATTTAGAAATAAACAACTTTTAGTCCACATCGGCGACCTAAACAATTACAAAACATTCAAAGACAATCGAGTTATTTTTCCAAAGTGAATAAAAGAATATTAAAGCTTTTGAGTTTCTCTTTTCAACCCGTTTACCCAATACTACATAGATTCACCGCATGTTCAAGGTTCAACGTTGAAGCATTCAACGCACGCGTATATGAACTACTTGTAAAAATAACCACCACATTATTCGTTGAGACTTAGGATATATACTAATTACAATGCATAATAAAAGAATAATACAATGAATATATTCAAGCTTTCCACGGCCATCTTTTTTTGGACATGGAAGAGGAAAAAGAAAACTCAAATATGTTCTACTTACAATGCAAGATATGAAACAGGAAACGAATATAGTAACATGATGTACATAGCAGGTGAAAAATGTTGTTGACTTCTTTCTGAGCCAAATGGTTATTTGAACGAATGGTCTTACTGCTGCTCCCCGGTTGGTTCCTCTTCCCTCTTTTCTTCAGCGGCAATCTTGGAAACCGTAAAGCTGGGTTGATTTGTTGAAGACAAAAGCCTTGCCCACATTCTATCAGTTATCACTACTTTGTTCTGGCCCTCGATGATTCTCTGCATTACAAGTTAATTCTCTTCAAAACTAGCTTTATGGAAAAGTTTAATAAATTCATTATGATTTTAAGAAATTAATCATATCTATGCTGCAGAAGCACAACTCACATAAAAGGGTATGTACGTTTGCCTTCCATTGACAAGCCCACTGGTAAAGCCAGTGTAACCGGCCATGGCTCCATGAACAGCACTTTGAGCAAGAAGAGTGCAGTACACGTTGTCAGAAGCATTGCTTGGAACAGCACGGATCATATATGTTGGATCTGCCACAGTAAAAAATTGTGCAATGTTTGGTATTTCCTCCTTTTAGTATGCATACATAAATATTCTTGCACAAACATATACACATGCATATATAGGTATTTAGTTTTTATGTTCGCAAACCTATATATTTCAGATTTATGTGCATTATCTTCAGCCTGGAAAAATGTTCCTGCAAGATCAAAGATTCAACATGCTTAATATAAGCGGTGGAGAACATCTGCATAAATAATTTCTTCAGTTATAAAATAGCTGTCTATGAGAAGTAAAGCATATTTTTGTCACAGTACACATCCATCAGGGATCATGTGTCCCCCACGAGATCCTTCAAGACTGTCACTTTTTGAGATTCTCATAAACCAAATGCAAATGGGAGTCATTCTTTAGAACAACTTTTTCAAGGTTTCACAAAGAAATCAATCATCAATTGAAAACCAAAATCTGAACTTTGTTTCAAACTTAGCCAAATCAGAATCTGAAATAAAGAAGAATCAAGAGGATAACGAAGTCAAAAGTCACATTTGAGATATCCAGAATAGAAAACAATCGACACCTTTATCTTTTGGGATATCCATAGCCCGACATCTTGGAGAAGTTTGTTGCCAGAAGCATCCTGTTTCTGCAAGGATTGCATGCTCTCAGAAACAAGTTCCTGTCCTGCCCCTTCAGCAATCACAATAACCATGTGGCCATTTTCTTTCAGTCTTCTCTCTACAAACTCAAAAAGTCCTCCTGGACCTTCAAGGTGGAAGGGTGACTCTGGAATCAAGCAACAGTCCACATCCCTACTGGCCAGAGTAGCATACATTGCAATAAACCCTGCACCAAGAATCCACAATAAAGCAAACACGAACGGGAAGTTGGATTTGATAATTATTACATCAAGAAAAGAACTTAAATGGTACGTTATATCCCATGCCAATCTACAAGACTCTTACCGCTATACCGGCCCATCAGCTTGACAACACCTATGCCATTTTCACCACTTTCAGCCTCAACATGTGCTGCATTTATAGCGCGTTGAGCCTCCTCAACAGCTGTGTCAAAGCCGAAGGACTTATCAATAACCTATTGAGCAAGAGACAACATAAAACAATTTTACAAGTTAATGATGCTAATGGATTCAGAGAAATAACTACAAGAGTTGCTATCCACCAAGAGATATACCGGGATGTCATTATCTATGGTTTTCGGGATTCCTACAACTGCAACTTTAAGATGTCGCCTTCTAATTTCCTGCGCGGATAATCAGGATGCGTTGTTAATAAATTGCTACTTTCATGAAATCAATTTCATAATCACAGATGTCAAATGTCAAATGTAAAATATCAACATTCAATAGTGTAATATCCTTATCATTCAAGGTGTATATACCTCAAAAATCCTATCTGCACCTCTCTGAGTACCATCTCCCCCAATTATGTAAACCTGAAATTGCTCGAATTATTAGACTGATATTACTAGATTCAAAGTGAAGTTATATATGTCGTAATAGAGAGAATGAGGCACATACCTGATTAATTCCCCGATCTTGAATACTGTCAACTATCTTAGTGGTGTCATGTCCACCTCTTGATGAACCAAGGATAGTTCCCCCACGCTTGTGTATATCATTCACGATTTTAGGAGTTAGAGCTATAGTATTGTGAGCATAGAAACCCTTGTATCCTCCCTTCAAATCACAGTATTTTTCAGTTAACGAGACTAATACAAATCAAACGATTAGAATTATTGTAAATTTGTTCTATCAGAATTCAGGAGTGCATTTGAATTTACATTCGTTGCCTTTCTAATCAACAGGAGAAAATGAGTTTGTTTGGAATATCATCAAAACTATTACACTTACATTGATTCCCAAAATTTTCTTGACACCATACATGTGATATAGTGCACATACTAGTTCCCTAATCACGGTGTTTAGCCCAGGACATAGACCACCACATGTCACAATTGCAGCCTGAACATCATCTGAGTCGAAATACACCTGGATATCCACCATCATACGCTCATAAATACAAAAATGGCACCTCCAAAGATAAAGCCACACACACCAAAACATACCTTTTGACGAGGTCCGGCACGCCGAAAATGTACACCTCTTGGACTATCTTTATTAGCGATTATCTGTCATGACATAAAGTAATGCACCGGTGTTAAATTGCAACAACCAACTTGTACCAGAATCTCTCGTGCTATCATTTTCCAATTCAATTTAAACCAGTCCAACCGTGATCCCATGATGTCCATTACTAGCATGGAGAAAACGTGAATTAGATACGAGATGCGTTTTATACTCTATTTACAAGGTGGTTACTTTTCTTTTCTGTTTTTTCCTTTCGATAACTAGGATCCGATGACGTTTCGTATTCGGAGAAATCGTGAATTCTCGAGATATACGTGTACTCATAAAGACACAGGTTTAGTTTATTATTATTATATTATTATTAAAATAAGAATATTATTTATAAGATTCCCGAGACATAATATGTTCAAATCAGAGCCCCTTTGGTTAATGCGTGATAAAATCATCCAAAAAAGGAGAAGGAAAATTCACCGGAAAAAACAATATATAACATAATAAAATCTAACCTTCTGCGGAACACTATCATCGACGTGAACGAAATACTGTCTGAGAAGTGGCAAGTAAATTAAAATTGTGAGACAAAAAGTAAGCGTAAACAAGCATAATAAGAAAAAGCAAAAAAAAAAAAAAAGTAGAAGAAAGAAGAGATAAACTTATTTTTCACATCGATATGAAACTTACTTGACAACTGAGTAAGCAGGATTGATCTGCAAAGGATTAGTATATGTCTGCGAGAGAGTTACAGAAAAATGATACATTAATGGAGTAATTAAGTAGATAAAGTTACAAAGAGAGATGAAGAGAAAGAGAAAAAGGCTATGCGGTGGAGAAGAAGCACTTTTTGAGAGGGCGTAGGAGAAAGGTAAAAAGTGGTGAACGACGACGTACTGGCAAGTCAGGGATGTAATCAGCCATATGTGGAACATCTTCCAAGACATAACCTGCGGTGCCTCTAACGATCTTAGGCTTTGAATTCGGTGAGGAACCCATGATGTTGTTGTAACGTTAGGGAGAGAGGCGAAAAGAGGTTGTGTTATTGTGATTGAGGAAAGAAAATGATGCGTGGAATTAAGGTGGATCAGAGAAAGGTGGTGTTGCTTATTTATAGTAAAGGGTGTGGTGCTTCACCAATGCAAAATGTGGAAGGAAGGAAGGAAGGAAGGAAGGAAGGAACGA